AGGATATTACATAAAATTTTACATATCAAAATCTCAAATACAAGAGGAAAAACAATAAACTCCAAAGAACAATTTATTACACTTAATAATGAATCTATATTCATATAATGTGTCAAACTAAACTACATCTATATTTCAGTATTATTCGCCCAAATTTGGAATTTTGTTCAGTTATATACAATTCTATTTCCAAAACCCAAGCTTCACTTATTCATCAATTACATAATCGCTTTTTGCGCTACATCAGCCACAACCATAACCATAACATTCCTTACATTCAATTTCCAGAGCCCTGTAGGCAGTTTTTTAATCGTGTTTTTTTATACAAATGTGTTAATTCTTTTTTCGATTGCGATTTGTTAAGTAATTTTAGTCTTAGTGTTCAAAGTCGTCGTCTTAGAAACCCAGTCGTCGTCTTAATAATCCTACTTTTCATATTCCCTTTAGTAGACTTAACATGCTTAAAAATTGTTTTATTAGTAGAATAAGCTTAGCTTATAATTCTCTTGTTTTAAGGAATCCTGATATTGATATTTTTAGTGATAATTTCTCTATGTTCCGTAACAGTGTTAGAAATGTTTTACATATTAGCCCACTTAATCTGACATTATTATTATTATTATTATTATTATTATCATTATTATTATTATTATTATTATTATTTGTACTATATTATTTTTAGTATATATTTTTGTTTTTGTATTCTTCACGTTTACTATAATTTTGTATGCGTTTGATGTTTGTGTTCCCTCCTGTAAGTGGCGAATTTTATGTTTGCTGTTGGCTGGGATAATAAATAAATATAAAATACATGCACACAAATAATGCGAAGATAAATATAATTTAAATATAACAAACAAGAAATCTGTCTGACAAAGAAAAAAAAAAAAAAAAAGAACTCTATGGAGACTTAGTTGATCCCTAGAACTTTGACATACTTTATAGCCACAGAACATGCTGGTGTATCATAGAGCCAGTCGACATTTAATAATTTTCATTCTTTTATATATCTCAGATACTATTTCATCACGATCTTTTAAATATGAAATGTCTAGAATGAATAATTCTATAGGTCTCTAAGTCATTTACATTTCTATATCATTTCTGACGCAAGAGTGATATTAATAACTTAGGTTTAGAACATCACACAGCTGGGAATAATACAGCCATTAAATATTTTATAAAAATCATCTAATACACAGCATTTAAAATATAAATTCATTTTTTATAAATCCTTACAAATGAAAATTGAATTAGCTTTTAATTCTGATGTATATTTTCAAAGATTTCCTCTATGCCAGGTTGTTCACAAAACATCAATTAAACATATAATAATAATTAATTAATTAATATATAATATATGGAACATAATTTTTGGGTTTTTCAGACAATAAAATTATCTTGAATCTTTTAAAAGTTTTATGATAATGCATTTTCATTGTAATGATTCGAACCCCAGCTCCTCATTACATTACTGTTGATCTAATAAAGCCGAATAATTGGTACTAATATTATTACTTGCTTCATTATTAGTGCCAATTTTATTGAGTTATCATCATTTTACATTATTAGCATTATTATCAACAATGTTTTTTATAATTATAAATATTACTATCATTATTATTGCTAACATATTTTCCAAATCTTCTTTAATAATACTATCGTTATCATGGTATTTTGAGTAGCCAATACACAGTTCAATTAACTTACGCTCAACACATCTGCACCCAGATTGTAACACGCACGCATAGATGTCAACGCTTGATTGCGACATCAACTGGTCGCCAATGAGGTATGTGTTGTGCGACGCCGCCATATAGTAATGGGACAAAGGCCTTGTCATATCCTGGTGAACCTTAGAGTGGTGCTGGTTGAATACATTTCCTTCTGGACTTAACAAATACTTTGTAAATCCTTAAAGAGAAACAATAAAGGTTATACTATCATCTTGAATTTTAAATTGAACATGCTATTGAGGAAATTTTTGGAAGGGGTATACTGACTTCTGAGTATCAGCATTAAATAAGCATTGCTAATTTTGTTTGTATTGAGCACAATTTTTTAACCTCTATTATGCTCCCTTTAAGATAATATATGCCAATTTTAATAATACTACAAATGACTATTTCCGATGGGCTTTACATTAACCCGGCCACTGGAAAAAACACATATGGAATACGTCTCAGCTCCCTGGAGAATTAATCCAATAACATTGCTGTTAGTACTCGATACACTATTAATGCTTACATTGTTATCCATGTGGATACCAATTTTGTATGACATATCTTGCTTAAGGATATAAACAATTGGCTGTGTGAGAATTAAACTCCCACTCTTATGTTAAAAAAACCAAATCTCCTATCTAAGATGAATAAAGACAACACAAAAACATCATTTGACCACAACCTACCATCTATACCAAGCCATTTGTTTTGTATGTTCTCTGGGACTGGTTCAAATGTCTCAATAATGTCTTCACACATCTCAACCGTGACTGCCTCTAACTTCTGCTCAACTTGCAAAAACTTCTGAAGTTCTTTGGCTGTCATGAACTGCTTGGATTCACTGTATTGCTGGAGTAGAAAAAGTAGTTCCTTTCGTGTACTTATCAACTTGTAAAATTGCATGAATTCCTCATAGTCCAGTTGACCTTCGTGTTTCCCGGATGTGTTCGTGTCTGCTTCCTAACACAAGAAGGAACAAAAAAAAAAAAACAAACAAATAATATGGTGAGTACAAACCAAAAATAATACACAGACTATGCTTTTTCAATACCCATCTCAAATACTGCATTATAACCAATTACAGAACAATGATCTCAGGATATATATTTTAAAAGGATGAATGAAAGGTCAAGATGAATCAGTCCATTTAATCCACACTGTCTAGATATTTCTTAAATAGCAATAGTGTATTTTCAGTAATGAATAGCATGGTATAGAAGCATATTATCATAATTATGATTAATAATTAAGATGCCAATTTGCAAGAGAGTAAACCAATTTGCTCAACATTTTTAAAGGGAGAAATAATGACAACTATAAACACCTTTGGGGAAGATTTGATTTTCGTACACTGTGAATTCATGGTACAATAGGCCTATGATGATGTTGAAAGTGTGGTGGTGGTGATGATGATGATGAATATACTGATGATGTTAATGATAATAATTAATTTAGAGCTGACAATCGAATGATAATGAGGGTAATTACGATGAGGGTGATGATGAGGATGAATTAGATAATATGATGAAAATAATGATAAAAAGAATTAAAATAAAGATGATTTTAATGATATTTGATGTTGGTGGGAAGGAGCATCAGAGATATACCTATATGTAACGAATATCAATTATTATGGGTATAGTTTATAGGTAAAGGTAGGAGAATAAACAATCCCCTACTCCTTTCCAAATAGTGTACAGTATTGCGTTCTTTACCGTGTAAATGGGCCATAATGCAAAATGTCCGAAAGACGGCATGCTATCATAACTTGCATTTCAGCCCTCTAGCTAAAACACAAGAAAGCAGGGAAGGGAATTGAACCAGGGACCTACAGATTGCTACGGTTCAGCGCACACAGAGTGGCCACCACCAGTTAGCGAACTGAGCTAAGCTGCTCTCTTCACATCATTTCACAATGACAGGGGCTGAAATGAACCATAGCATCGGGGTAACCCTCTACTCTTTTCGAAAGATGCAATTTGTTTTTTAAAGTGCACACGAGCCAGATGTGTACAGTGGACCTAAATTTGAAGTCCTTATCTGTGAACAGTTGGTTCTACAAAACCGAACCCTGGGCGAAGAGCAGCTTGAACAGCACCGATGCTACAGCTGTAGCAGCACCCCTATTTTACCACTCGACTAGCCCAGACCATAAACCTCATGCCATTCTGATGGATGCTAAGTTTACACTATAACATTAATAAGTCATGAATCAATAATTCAAAATGTGCTTTAACTGAAATTATGGAAAACCGAAACAACGTTGGATTAAAGATACAACAAACATGCTTAAATATGGATAAACATAAATCAAGAAAAATACTTTCAGTATAAATATCAATATTGTACACATTCATATTCAACATTTATATAGGACAATTTTCCTCTGGTACACTATGGGGAAACTTTATATCAAATTTGTTGTAATATCAACACGTTTGGGCTGTTGGAACACTACACAAAGCATGTTAAAAAAAACAATTTAAATAAGAAAAAGATAAAATAATAAGTTACCTTGAAGAGTTTTCTGACCTTGCGTCTACTCAGTTTAAAATTGAGTTTGTGAAGCAGTCTAATGACCTCATCCATGTCCAAAAGTCCATTTTTACTTTTGTCTGCTGTTTCAAATGTTGTCCTCAACCAGGTGCACAAAATTAAGGAAAAATTATAGCATGTTGAAATTTTCTCAACCCCACATGGGGTGCTGAATAATACTCTATTATGATCAAGTACAAGAATAAGGGACCTTAGTATGTGTTCAATATGTGCTTCATCCAATGACCGGGGTTAATAATGCTAAACGCATAGAGGTCTCTAGAATATGCGCTATATAAGTTGACAATTATTATTATTATTATTAAAAATGAAATATTATTATTATTACATATATTACACTAAAGAAGAGAGCAGGTGCTTCTAAAAAATTTGTATAATAAATTTTATATATCCTGAAAATAATGCCAGATATTGTATTATTTTTCATGACTACATTTTACCATAGATATTATTTAAAAGTTTATTCCAGATTTATTTTCTTTCATGATCAATAAGATAAAATTCGACGTTATCAAGAATATTGCTTGTTTAACATTCAAATATCATGATTAGAATTTGTGTTTTTTTTTCAGCAAAAGGATATTTATCACGTAGCCTGTTGCTTTTCACAAGGACATCTTCCATCTGAAGACCAGCAAGTAGGAATCGCATTCCTTGAATCCAGATGTGCGCTTCCTGTTTTGTATTGGCCACTAAATCTACTGTTTCTAATCCATTTCCATATATGATTGAGAAGCAGCATGAGGAGTCAATATTTTCATTCACAAGGCCACGCTTGAATGAGTCCGTTTTCTGTCCTTCACGCACCTCTTTGATGCAATCCACAGCAACTGAAAAATGAAAACGTTAGCAAAGGGATCACACAATTAGTGAAAAAGATATAAATCTTCTTGATTATGAATGCAGCTGAGGAATTATGCGCTCACATGAGGAAGAAGCATGCTAAAGAGATCCTGTACCATTACGATAGAATACAGATTGGTCCCTGCTGATGAAGTACTCGATTAAAAGAGAATAAGAGAATTAATATTGTTGATTTTTATTTTTTTCAAAGCATTTTAAAATCCCATGGAATCTAAATGTTAATAGCATTTTACTTAGTGCATTCTTCTTATGAACATTAACTGCATTATGTGGCACAGAAATGTGTAAGTCTACTCTAAATATGATTTCTTCCTGGACTGCACATCTCAAACTAACACACTTTGCCAAACAGTTGGTTTAATGGCATTTTTCATAAGCATTCTACTCAAATCTATACCATCAGCCATTCTAATCCACACTCTAATGTCATCTGTTTAACAAAATGGAACATTTAATGAAAGTAGAAGCATGTTTTACTTTTAGCTTTTGTGCCTTTCCGTGTTGGTTTCCATCTAATACAACTGTTCTCCTTGTCTAAAAAATATGTCCTGATCGATTTTGTTCCTTGTGCTTTTATCTTGGTCAGTGAAGTTCCTTGCTTCATACAGTAAATACAAACCGAAACTGTAAACAAATCAATACTTTTTAAATTATTTTTGAATTGAAAAAAACATGAGATGGTTAATAAGTTGTACTATTTTACTTGAAATACAAATGTGAAATTTGAAATTTTTTTTTTGTCAGGAATTTTGGAATTAAAAGGCAAGTTAATCTTACTACTGAGAGTGAAAACCTGTATAGTAGTGTGTAAAAAAATTAATAAAAACCATAATAATAATAATAATAATCATATTAAACACAATTATTAACAATAATTGATATTATAGTAATTTCCCAAGGTATATAAAATGCTTATACAAAATGATTAAATCAATTTTAACCACATATCAAAACAAATACTGTAAATTTCCATCAATACCCAATTCACCAAGAAACAATATTACATGCATCCTGTGCTAAGAAATACAGCATGCGTCCAATTGCCTGAGTGTGAATGCACTACCACATAATTTTAGCCTGCATCCCGTGAAATATTAATGTAAGAAAAACAGACAGTGCTATACACACTCCCGAGATATTTAGCATCTGTTCGCATGCTCATGGGATACAGCTTATCCTTTAGTATTGTGCATACCTTTTGCGTATCTATTGTATCGACTTTCACTTGAGTGGAGACGATGGTAATTTGGTAGTAATATCTCGTAAATCCAGGTAACATTTAGCACAGATATCATGTTATATTTTGTCTTATGTGAATTCGGTATAAATCTCTGTCCAGACTATCAAATTTTACTTGACAAAAACATGTGACATGTCTAAATATGGTCATGATGACATCACATCATGACCATATATAGGCACATTGTGACCATATATGGGTATACAATAGTTTTTTTGTAAAATCCACTTCAACTTATATACACATCAAAACATAAGTTTCTACTGATTTAGAGATTTCCAACTAAAGTAAATACTTGTTTTAATTATATTCCATTCAATTTCTTAGGGAAAAAAGAACAGCTAATAGGCATATGTTAAATGGTGAGGAAAATATGTTCTTGTTCACATTTTCAATTGAAAGCTGTATATAGTATTACAAAGTATTCCAAATTAGATATCGGATTTTTGATGCAATTGTTTTTTGGCTCAACACATACAGTATACATTTCACCACTAATGCTGACTGAAGACAAACATATTGATATGTATACCCACTATGGATCAGTGAATAGAAAAATCATAGGTATGAATAATTTATAAATTAATTTAGGTATTACTTGCACTAATAATTATCAAGCATCCGTTGAGAGACATAACAATCGACCAAAGACATTAGTGATTATAACTCCTGCAATTTGTATTACAATATTTATTTAGTTACTTAGAGACAATAATATTTTCTTGCATACATATTCATATACGATCTTTGTTGAGATATAAACTAATTAAATTTAATATTATTGCTTATTATTTTAATTGAAAAAAAATGGACAAGAAAATGATGATGACATAATTAATGTCGAAATATTGAACCCTGACACAATGGCGTGCATTTCGATATTTGGAGTATGTATTATAATATCTTATCTGAGATTAATCAGTGGACCTTTCGGTATAAGTCTATCCCTATTATAAACCCACTCCCCCTACTTTGCATTCAATTTTCATGTATCAGAATTTGCCTGGCAAAAGCTCTTGAGTTTTAAATGGAAAAGGATTCTCCATGAATGAGCCTAACACCCTACCCCCATCCCTCCACCCACCCCAAAAAAAGTTCATTTTCATGTTCAAAGGGGTGGGCTTATACCAGAGGAACTGTAAATGAGAAAATAGGCCTCACTGTTCTGGATCAGCAGACAGAAATAAATTAATTATTAAAAAAAGTAGGTATAAACCATAAAATTAAATATGAATTATCTAGTATAGGACTACATTACAAAAAAAAAAAAATACCCAACTGCATTGAAACCAAAATAAAATAAAAATATACATGTGACAAAAGTCTTTAAAAAGTTTGATAATTTGGAAGAAAAGGTGGATTGGGATTAACTCCTTGGTCTACCTGAAAGAATTACAACTGACCACAAAAGCTGGTCACTACAGAAGCCATTGCAGCGTGGAGTGCCTATCAAGTGGACTAATAACTTCTTTAGCACTAGTTTTTGATTTAAAAAAAAGGGCCCAGGCCCTACCATCTTCACTCTAATGCCTCTCCCCTCCCATACTGTCATTATTGCAATTCATTTCCAAAAAATAGATTTTGAATGGTATTCTCATTCCCAAACCCCCCACCTAATTAGATCCCAAATGAGCCAAATGCCCAATCGATTGAACTGAATACGCTAACAAGTTAGTGTTATCAAATCAGTCCTAATCAATACCAATAGATATATGTGTGTTTCCATTTAGTTGTAATTGAACATTTTCCCACTGACAAATCAAATAAATACATTACTGACTGTATCATTGACCTCAACAAGCTATATCAAGTTAACGACCGAAATGTTTCATCTACATATTTTCCAGAAGAATAAGTTCTATATGCAAATGTAGATACATTCTTGTTTGAGGGCAATATATGCTGTAGACAATAACAGCAATTATGTAATTTCAATTAACTTGAAGAATGATAAAGATGTGTGGTTTGTCTGAGGATGTGCATTTGTCGGGATGTTCATTTGTTGTACCCTCTAGTTATTGGATCATCATCATTTAATATTTCGAAATTTAATAAGCAGGAAGCTATCCATGACTGGAAATAGCATAATGTACACATAATAGTTACTTTGTGGTAATTTCAATCCTAGAGTGCAATAAGACACACACTATAAAACAAATCATAGTCAAATACAGTATAGAGAATCATCTTAAGTAGTTGTCAACCTGCTGTCATTTTGAAAATTGTCATAAAAAAAAGTTGGATAAAAAAGTGGGTATACTTTGCTTTAAAAAAATATAACTTGAAAAGGCAATCAAACTGCTATAAAGCAAAATGATAGTAGTAGAGTAATAGGGATAATGAATGATTACGATAGTATACATAAGCAGCATACCTCCATTCTGTACCTGAATATCAAACAATACATATTTACCTCCACAGTGAAGGTAAATATGGAAAAAGTGCATTCATTTACTATGTATCACACATTTTCACCATATTATGGCTACTCCAGATATCTGAACCACTCAAGAAGTCAGGTGTAACTAATAAATAGATATTCTAATTAATTGCTATTAATTTTTTTTTTTTATCATTGATATTTAAACTGGATTAACTGATTGAATTCAATAAGAATTATTTGGATTTAGGGATACTTGTTTGCATATTAGAATGAACCAGAATTTATTAATCATAGTAGACTGACATGAATGTGGAGAGATGTTAATACAAATCTAATTACACCATGTTCTAAAATAGAAATGGAAAGCAGGTGAGACACGTGTCTTATGCTACTGAGTAGCTTAAGAAACCTTTACCACAATAGGCCAATAAAATAATGTCTTACTAGAGAAATAAAAATGCTACATGCAAAAAACAAAACTACAGAAGCTTTGGATGATGTTATAATAAACTTTGACCAATGGGAGTTGAGGCCAAAAGGGGAAAAAGTTGTTTATTCCTGATGATGACATAATTAATGTCGAAATATTGAATCCCAACACAATGGCGTGTATTTTAATACTTGGAGTATGTATTATACTTTCTTATCTGAGATTAATCAGTGGACCTTTCGGTTTTTGTTTACTGCAAGTTTTAACGTTTGTAGTAGGATGGCACCTCTGATAAGGTTGGAAATTCACCTTTGAAACTTCTTTCATATTATAACCTCATGCAATTCAATTGCACAAGATGATTTCTGGCAAATTTACAGTAATAAAAATCTCATTCAAATGAACAAACACCACACAGTAATTCTGATGAACTTGTAGCAACTGGGGTCACCTGACTTAAGTTAGAATTTGCCATAGAAATATAATAAAAATACTAGAGTGCTAACTGCAATGTATTCGATGTTCGAAATACACAAAGCTGTTTGTGTGTACCATCCAAGATGGCTGCCATAGACTTAACCAATCAAATTTCGCTTAAGTGCCATCGTTTGCAATTTCGCCCTCAATTTATACAGAAAGTTCAGTACAGCTAGTTACCCGTATGTTTGAAACTCGAGCGTTGCGGTGTATGGGTGTAATGTACACGATTTTAATTTTCATTCCTTGGTACTTTATTTTTGAATAGGATGCTCCACTTGGCCTCGTTTTGGCTATGATAGTTTAATAATTTGTTATTACCATTACTCATCATCATTAATGAAACAATAGTCAGTCAGAGGGCTTATTTATGGTAATAACATGTATACTAAGCCTGAAGGTGGCGCTTTACTACGACGGCCATCTTGGATGGTACACAAACTCTGCATTGCTCCGCCATCTTGTCAGCACTCTAGTTGTTTAATAGCTCTATGGAATTTGCTCAATAGGGTGATGGAGATCTGTCTGACAAAGTGGTCTAGCAATTTCTGGCATAATCCAGCAAAGAGGAAGGGGCCATACCAAGGGGAAAGCCCATTGGGTCCAAGGGGATGTTTTGGGCCACTTTAAGCTGTTCTGAGACTCTTTATAGCATACCTTGCCTATTTTTATGAAATTTGTTTTGGTCAGACAAGTCCTGGCAGACAGGGCCTAGCTGTCCACTACTGGCCCCACCACTGAGTCCTGACTTTAAACGATTTCAAAGGTTAAAAACCCAGCTCACTTATGACATCAGAACATTAGAATGGCACTTGAAATGATTGATGAAGCAACTCGGTGATTTGCAAGTAATAAACTACACAAATTACTCATTGATCTACATACTTCATCACGCTTTAGGCATAGTAACACTATCTATTATGTACACACAGTTACATAAGCTTATTTATAGTTTTGAAATACGCATCTTTAAATTGATGGTTACTGACACCTCATGTTCATATATTCAAACCATTTCTTTTTATAGTAAGATACAGCAAAAATGGCATCATTAAAACGTTAATGGAAGAGTGTTAAATGCTACGAGTATTTAGTGCCGTTTCCTTGCCGTTATGAAATGCTTGGATGTGAACTCAATTCTATCAAAAGGTGCCATCGTGCTAGTTTGCTGCCAGTTGGCTTTCTACAGCAGGAGATTGAAGGACATCCTGAATCTATAAAGATTTTATGTTAGGTTAAGTAAGGTTGTATTGCCTTGTGTTATTGTGAATTTGTGTTTTTATATATTTTTGGGGGGTTAAATAATTTTACTAACCCTGTACTCTTAGGTCTTCATTTTATAAGCTTACTTGAGTTTCACGAATGTCCTTTTCATCTTTTATCCTATTTTTAACATTTTTAAAGTTTTATTTGTAAATTGATATTGATTTGATGATGAATAAAAAAGAACTGAATTGAATTGAATAAAGTGCATGCTCTGTGTACACTGTGCATTTTATATCCAAAGACTTGGTTCTACAACTGGCTGACTTTTTTTCACAAGTACTTCAGTATAATTGTTTTTATTATTAAATTAAAATGGGATGAAAAGTCCAAGAATGTATTGTCAGGCCTTAACAAAACTTATGAGGATATGTTGCTATTATGTAAATCTACGAACAGATTGCCTGCTGGGTTGATACTGATACCATAGAGAAAATAGAACAGTTCTATTTTCTCTATGCTGATACTTAGGGTGTTTGTTAAGTGTTCTCGAAAAAATATTTCTTTGCTGTTAACCTTTTATAAATAAGTTTGTGGAAAATCAAAAATCATATACGAGATTTCTATCATGCCTGGTGTACAAGGGTAATAATCTCACAATGCCCAGTGGCGGCAAACATGTTAACACAGGTTTGTAGAGACAATTGGAAATACTTTGAAGGCGGATACACTAGACCTAAAGGCACTAATTTGTTTTATGTCCCTTTGGATGCACTTGTATGAATATTTATGCCAGATAATACTTCTGGGGGCAGAGGAGATGTGTATTAAATGCAGTGGCATATCTAGGGGTGCACGCCCCGTGCACGCCCCTCCAAAAATTACTCGCGCCCCCCCCCCCCAAAAAAAAAATCACAGCCAAGTAGTTAAAAATCACCTAAAATCACCTAAAATCACCTTATTTGCGAATTAGCGACCCTCAACTGATCGAGTCCCCCCACTTCACCTTCGCGCCCCCCCCCCCCATCAGTACCCCAATTTCAAGATATGCCACTGATTGAATGTTACTGTTATCATGACTAGGGCAATAAAAGCAAATGCTTTAAGGGTCTCTTTAAAAAGTCTATTATATAATTTCAAACAATTATTACTATCATCAACTGTTATATTATAATTATTACTATACCACTGCTACCTTATTTCTAAAGAATGTAAAAATATGCATTATAAAAACATGTGAAAAAAGTATATATTTCATATATTAAAAAGAATCTCTTTGGAGATCATGTCTTGTCACTTAAGATGCTTAGAAGAAGGCATACCACATTGATCTGTACACCGAATACTAATGTTTTATCGACGTACCATATGCAAGTGTAAAATCAATTGCCTTTAATCAGATTGAAACTCCCAACAAAAAGCCCCAATGGCCCAGTTTGTTAGGATGTCTGCATAGACAGGAGAAGATCCTGTGTTGAATCCCGGTCGGTCAGGGCGATATTTTTCATACTCGCAGACTCCTACTTCTTTAATGCTTACAAATAGGGGCCTAATTTACTACTAAGCAACAATAATTATAACAGAAACAAAATTAATAATAATAATAAAATAAATGTAATTACATGTGCTTGCAACAAACTTTAAAGACATATGTCGTAGAATTAATGTTATCAAAATCCGATGAGACGTAACATCAAAACAATTTTTGCTGATAATTACCAGCAAATTTAAGGCACAATGTTAAGAACAAGAATGGTATACTATCATTTATATGGTGCATAAACTGGTAAGTTTATTTTTTCTTTGTTCTAAATTTAATTTGACAAACTACACAAAGTAAGTAAATCAAATTTGTTTTTTAAGTTTGTTAATGACATATATGTTGCCTAGAAGTCATTTCCTGTGTCACAAATTCATGAATTCAGATTAAGGTATGTGACAAAGCCCATATAGTAATTTACTTTCAATCATAGAGTAAGCTCTCCTTAATATAAAAATCCATATATAACACATACATATCAAATGAAGTCTGAATTTTATCTTGCCTGAAGCAGTTAGTCTTAAGACTAGCATTATAATAACAAATTGGATACAGATTTTGTAAGCAAATATGCAGTGATAAAAAACTAAATACTACATAGAAATTTCAGTTTTTGTACTTTATGAAACCAGACACAAAAATTAATTGTTTTGCATAGAACCATGTTTTTTGGTTTAAAATGTAAACCATGTTTTTTGCGCTACTGTCATTATAAATCACAATTTATATTTAGATGTTATTCATGTATTAAAATTAGTGAAGAATGAGGGGCACTGACTCTAAATATGAGGGGCAGCTGACAGTGAAGTATTTGCTTAAGCAGCCCCTGATATGTTATTTTTTATTTGTATGTTATATTTAAGTTGAGGTCAAAAAATAAATTAAATGCAATGCAAAATAGTTCATTTTTACCTTAAAAACAAATTTTGTCTTTAATAGTTTTAATAAAGAATTAATGTTGCGGTTAAGTAGTTATATTCAACCCACTATCTGAACTGCCAAAATCTTAACAGACCCCGATGTATAAATAGTACTCGTTGTCCATAGCCCAACATTATAAGGTTAGGCCTACAGATAGAAGATGATTCGTCGCAAAATTACAAACATTAAACAACAGCGAATTCAAAATAAAAACCACTTCAGCCCCATCATGGTTGGGGCTAGGATGCCACTTCTAGACGGCCGGAAATGGCACTGTCAGACTCAAGATTTGAATGTAATTTTCTAATATCCCCATTTAACATTTTTGCGGACCTCCATACTTTTCACGGAACCCCTGCGGACCCCTTTGACTTGGCAGACCCTCAATTATTTTTCACGGACCCCAGGCTGGTAACCACTGCTTTATTTTATTTCAATAAGTTGTAATGCTCCTTTCTCTCTCTCTTTTTAATGAGAGTCTTATTTTGACAATGAGTGAATTTTGAGTCTTTGAGAGAGAAAACGATTCAAACTTGGTAGATAGACCTTAGCATCGAACGTGTCTTTCCATATATTACAGCAAATACATGATAGGTCAATCAATTTATAGCTGTTTTAAAGTCATCTGCCGTATTTGACTGGTACGCGTTTTGTTGACAACGATATTTCATTGAGTATTGTTTTCATTCGGCTTGTTTGTAAAATAGACTCTGTTGAGAATGGAAATGTAAACCAGAGTGCGTTAATTTGCAATGAGTTATCCATGCAACTAACACGAACATGGCCGATTGTTCAGTTTAGCAACAACATTTACATTAACATACTTTAGATTAAATTTCAGAAAATAATAATTATAATATTTAAATGCATAAAGTAAAAAAAAAATTATAGGTTAACAGAATTCAAAAACTGTATGAAAACAATTTTTTACGAAAAACCTATACTGTCACATACTAAAACAACCTTGATTACGCTAGCGTGTGTATCGCGGTACCTATGCAGCCATTTTGTTGTGTTGAGTATTGTATTTAATAGTTTGCTATTCATTTAGTCTTCTTCTTTAAATAGCATCTTACAAACATGCAGGCAGGCGTGGTTAAACGAAGAACGACTAGTCGAATACCGCCAGTGAGTAAGTATCATATTATAAATCCATTCTAACTAGGTAAAGAAGAAATAATTTGAACGTACCATCAAATTCTTGAGAAGACCAGTATGTAGGCTCTAATGATGTGACTGCCATTTTCTCTTTTTTTCTGGATGCTCCTCTGGGCACGCTGCTGCTGCTGGTAAACTCTCTAATCTTTGATGTTGAAGATGACTTACTCTTGAACCTCCTCCCCCTAGCAGTTTCTCCCTCCCTTTCTTCAAATAACTGGTAGGAGGGGGCAGATGCATTCATCCTCTGAAAATTGTAAAATTGTGAAACATATTCAAATTGTAGTGTGGCTCATGTAGATACAATGTTATCACTTGTCTGTCATTCTATCATATGCTATCTACTGTCTTATGATCTGAGACAGGTCAGTGCAGTAATGCTCCATCTCCCTAGGCCAAACATGACATCAATAATGATGAATTGGTTTGGTGAAAAACTTGTGTCATTGAATACTAGAATCTCTGCTTCTGTATGCATTTAGCCTTTAGAATAAAAAAAAAAAATAAAAAAAATAAAGGTACACTAGAGCAGAACTGTCAATCAGCAAAATGTCAATCATTCTGTCTTATTGCCTATTAAAAATTTAAAATAACTGAAAATGAAAACAAACAGAATTTAAAAAGTGTGGACTCAACTCAATTTTAAAAATTGCTATTAAATACACATACATGCTTATAAACAGAAATATATAACAGTATATAGTATTCAGCAAAAATAATCTTTAATAAATTAAACACATGTGTATTGGTCTGGATTGATAAATAAAACAACATAGCAAAGAAAAACATTGTTTGAAGGTTTGCATGGCGAAGTAATAATGTATATTAATGTTTGCGGTACACAACGCAGATAGTTCTGAAAAGAATTGATTGTTGTTGGTTGAGAATATCTCTACGTTTCGATTGAGTTTTTTTTCAGGAAAATAATATCTGCAGAAATCCCAAAACAGTGAACTTAAATGTTTTGGTTGGCGAGACTTGCTGGTGATAAACGTGTATAGCAGATATATAAATAACTAAATGATTAACATATTTTTGACTGTCTGTTTTTGTAATTTCAGGGTAATTGTATAACATGTTTACCTTTTTATATTGTAATGCAAACATTTTTATCCATTGGTTACATTTAGTAAGTCATACCAGAATATAATAAAACAAAAATTACAAGACTTGGCTCTACCAACGGAAGCCTGAAGCGTTGTTAAAAAAGTACTTAGTAGCACTCCTGCCTTTGCACTTAGCCACTCAACTCGCCCAAAGTCAATTTGGGTAAAATATAAAATATTTATAGTACAATAAAAAATAAACTCAAAGACAGACAATAAAATAGTATAATCTCGAAGATCTCAGTTAATTTGGTACAATGGGATGTAGGTTATATTGTAAAGTCAATTGTGTTGCATATAGGAAATAGGTTACTAAGTTGTGTTGCAGTCAAATGAACATGGACTTAGAAAAATTGTTTTCATAATTTTCTGGTGTTTTAATGACTGTACATATAATCCAATTTTAATCTTTATTCATACTGAGTTTTGTTATAAGTTACGCTTGAAACATTTTATGGAGCCTGTTAAGGCTATTTTATTAAGAATAGGCTTTGCCTATTGAAACTAAGAACTATTTGTTTTTCAAAATTTCTATACCCAATAAAGTGTCAATAATGTAGGTTAAACTGAGCAAATTTTCCTCAAATTCCAATTTTCACGCATGATTTGATCTAAAGAATATATCTCCACTTCTATGATATTGGCACCATTTAAATTGCAAAATAAATAATATATATTATGTACTAAATAGCAGCATTTTCATCATAGCATGGTTGTTTACTGTTGCATCAAAGACTTATTAAGTTGTACAGTCAATGTGGCAGCCATTTTTACAAAATGTGGCGAGCTGAGTTCAATCTAAATATAGGACTGCTAATTCAAATGCTGCAAAGTTCTCCAAATAGAAAATACTAAGACATCCCTTTAAAGGAGGATTCAAGGGGGAGGGGACAAGTCAGCCAGATAGCCCTTCCCCACACCTCCTAAATGTTTGAGAAAAAAAAATTAAAAGGGGAAAAAAAAATATTTCTGGCGATCTAGAGTTGCCATAGGATTTTTTAAATCAGCCAAAACCATGGTGGGCCGAGTTTGTCTGGACCCTCCATCTGTAACCTATGTGCTAGATATAAACTGTAATATGAACAGTAATAATATTATTATGACCATTACAAAAATAACATTTATAAATAATAATTTATCTGTACAGTAAAATCCTCTGTCACAAGAGTTATTTACCTCTGCTTTACAAGGGAATGAGGAATTTGGAATTCCTGAAAGTAATCACCAATTTTCAAAGCACAGCATCAATATTCTGTTCCATTACTCATTATTCTCTAGCTGAGAAAATGAATTTCATAAGTACATTTAAATAATCTATCACTTTGGGACCACATTCAGGGAGTTTTGTCTGAGAACAAAAAAAAAAAAAAAAAATATATTTCACATAAAATATAATATCAATTACCAAAGCGAACCAGGATTGTAAAACCACACTTCTTCAAGTCAAATTAAAGCAAATTCATAACTATTTAAATGTAAACATATATTATGCCTTCATATTTTATTATTGTCTTAATTTTTGAATGTCATGACTTGAGAGTTACAGCAATTTCGTTTAATTTTTACCTTCCTTGCCATATTACAAATTGATTTTTAATGTAATTTTAAGTTGTTTTTATATTGGCTGAATAATATAAATAAATTAATGTATAAATAAAACTGTATAACATAGCTTTTAAGACTAAAAATAATTTTCATGTTTCTTACATTTTAAAGTTTCATTTTCCAAAATAGCACTGAAGTACCACAATCACTACATAAGTCCATGATGTACAAATGTACATGCCACTGTCCTAAAAACTTTGATTAATCAATTTTAGTCAAGTTCTGAGGACCCTATAGAAAATAAAAGCTGAAGGAGCCATTACTTCCTGAAAATATTGCCTGAAGCTTTTTGAACATTTTGCACGTGACGCAAAAAATAGGAGGCAATACATCAAATTAGTGTCTGCTCAGAAATGCAGAACTGCTTGCTAGTTTAATATATTTCTATGGTTCAGATTTACATAATTACACTTTATGGTGAACTATCTCGGGAAAAATTAAAACAGGTAGAATAATTAAATTTAAATCATTAAAATAGGTATTTAATTTGCATCAAAGTTGGCGCCCCTACTTTGCACTCTCCCAGGTGGCCAAGTGTGGCACAGCCTGACGTGCGTATCAAGGCAAAGTGTCCCCATTCCTATCAATATTCACCATCAAGGTTCTCTTTTCCCCAAGGCAAAACTAGCCTAACCTTCAAATTAGCAACCCTGTGAGAGACTATGCAGTCCGATGTGATTGCCTACATCAGATGCAGACCAAAACACTTGAAATAAAGGGGGCCTGGGAAGGGAAATTTACAGATGGAGGACACATACAAAAATCAGCCCCACCATTGTTGGGGCTGAGGTAAAAAATGTACAAGATACAAGATAAACTTTATTGTTAAATGCGTAGATTCAAGATTAGTTCAATGTTTCAATGTAGGATATGCCAGGCAGTAAAAAAGAGAAAGGTTGGTAATGGTACTCCTCTCTAACTTACATTGTGAAATAAAAACACTTTTTTTTGTTTCGCATTTCTCTTTCATTTTACAAAATTTAAGAGGTACCCCTTGAATCTGCCGCTGTCCATGGTAGTCCAGGTGGGTTTTGCACTATTCATGGTAGCTTAGGAAGCTGCAAACAAGTTTCCGATTCATGGAAAGTAGTCCCTACACACTCAGTATATTTGTATATGTTTGTATTTGTATATTTTACCATAAGATAGACCCCTGCCCCATGTCTATTAGTAGCCCCTATATGATACCCATTTAAAGTAGTCCCCACTTCTATTAGTTGGCCTCTATAATGTTGAAAATGTTCTTCACAGTCATCGGAAATTCAAAAATTAATTTTGGAATCCTATTAAAATTTGACCTTGCACTTATTACTGATTGTAAATTTTGAATGCATACAATCAAGGGCAAAAGTGGCCGACAATAGTCATCATGAGGCTGACAGAACTTAAGGGGTAATATTTGTTCAATTTTCTGGATAATTCTTCTGGACAAAGTTTGTTAGACACTGCCATGCCCAGCACTATCAGAGGAAGTTATTTATTACTCAAGCTAAGGGAGGAATGATACAAGTTTAAGAGAGTCACTGACACATGGAATGACCATAATATGAAACATGATATGCTGGCACCTGAGTTTTGATAGTGCCCTAACTGTTTACAAAAAACATAAAATATAATAAAGAAATACCATGCTGTCATAGGAATTGAACCCAGGGCCATGGTATTGGAGGGCAAGCATCTTACCATTAAGCTATACAACTCCACTACATGTAGTCATTAAACTATTACAAAAACAAAATAATAATACGATATATATATTAAAGATGTATTGTCCCATGCTAAATACCAAAAAAATCATAAAAATATTTTTTGAAATTAACTTGCCCATTTTGAAGTAACATAACAGTTATCAATTTGAACATAGAAATTAGTGTTTTAAAAAAATGTCTACCCATCAGTTTACAGGGAAAAATTATAGAAACACTTCCAGTCACTTTAAGTGTTTTATTATTTTAATTATAATTTCTTGGTTAAAAAATCAGGGTACAAATTTTTTTAATTAAATAATTTCTATGCACAAGCTAATAATTTGTATGTTTTTGCAAAATGAGAAAGTTTATTTTAAACTTATTTTTTATGATTTTCTTGACATTAGCAAGGGACAATACATCTTTAATAGAGGATATGGAATGTGCTAGTAAAAAGTAATAACATTTATTCACATCCAAAAGTTTTATGTCCTAATTAGTAGAGTGGAAATTCCTACTATTTCTGGAGTCTCTCCCAGTAAACCTATTTGCCAGTAGATGCACACATCTTTCAAATAAAATTAATCCCAACATCACAACATAAATTGGGTTAACATTTTGTCGAATCACCATGAAATGTTAGAAAAACCCTTTGGCCTGGTTTTTGTCTTGAAACTTAAATCTCCTAGCAATTAGACCATAATTTCTGGCACAACCGCATTAAACGATCCTTTGAAACTAAACCCAAAACAATCCAAGACAGAATACAATCCAATTTAACATAAAAATTATTAATAATTTACAACTTACCTAAACTATATGCGTCACCATTGTAGATAAAGCGTCAAAGTATCTGTGACTGTGTCAGCATCAAGTTGAACCTGTTGGGAAAATAGACACCTTATTGATATAATGGTAATGCATCCTACTTTGACAAAAGTGTAATCGAATACAGATTTAATAAGGGGAGAATTGAACGAAGAACAGATAACCCCGAAAACAGGAAAGACGATGGGATATGAGAATCATTGTTTTGGGGCTTCTGATATCCCAGAGGAGGTTCAACACCTGTGTTGTTAAATTTGGTATTTAATTCTTGTTTGTTTGTTGGATATTGGTATCTTATCCATGTGGAACTTATCTAACATGATCCATGAACTTACTATGTAAAAATGCTGATCAGATTCAGATTGGTGAAGAAGGATAGTTAAAAGTAAATGTGTTGCATTTGTAGATGGTTAAAATGAGATGCCTAGTTGTTTTTTATATTAAAATTAATGTTGATAATTATGATGATGCTAAATGATACTGTTTTGTTGATCATTTTTATGATATTGATGTTAATGTTGATGATGATAAGGTTGGTAACATTTAGGTTGATAATATGATAATAATGTTATATGACAATATGATTTTGATGATGGAAATAATGATGGTAATGATAATTATATTGATGATGATGATAATAATAAGGTTGATCACATGATGACAATGCTGATGATGGATGATCATATGATAATAATTATGATGGATGGTAATGCAGATGATGGTGATAATGACGATAAGGATGGTGGTGATGGATGAAGATATGGTTATGATGGATGATGATGGACAATCATATATAATAATGATGATAATGACAATAAAGATATGATATGATGCGATGATATTGATGAATGGTTATGAAGATGATTATTATTTGCAACTAGATATTACCTTTCTGTGCGATGAAAAAATTTGATTAATAATAAATTTCTCTGAATGATTTATAAAATGGATTGATAGGAATTCTTAGTGACTGGCTGTAGACAACTCATCAACTGCATTTCGTAAGGTCAGCAAATCAATATTTTACATTTGAAAGAAAGCAGACAAATTTCCAGGTTAAATCAATGCTTACAGGTCAAAGGTTAAATATTCTACTCTATATTATTTGAAGACAAGTCTCCTTGTAGGACTGTCAAGGAAAATTTGGTCCGGGGCCAAAATCGGTCCGCCGGACCGATTTTAGCTTTAAAATTACCTGCCAAATATAGTCCACATAAGCCAAAATCGGTCCAGCGTCTATTTAATAGTTATAACTTGTATTTTTATAACGTTGTTCATATTTTTTTTGTAATCAAATGATAGATAAATATCTTATCTCTCATTCTTTAGCCTCTAATATGTTTTCTTTTGTTATTGTATATGTGAAATCATAGGTGAAATCCTTGTTGAAAGTTAAGTAAAGCTTCACGTCCAGTAAACCCTTTGGTGTAAAACTACGGAAAAAAGTTAAACGATGTGGTCTTAAATCATGTTGGTCTGCTGTAGTTTATTTTTTACCTTGTTTTGTTTTGGTTGTGTGTGCTTAACGTCCCGACGAAGTATGCATTCAATTCCGAGAATGCTGACCCCTTTGTTTCATGTATTGGAACATCTATTGTATGACCGAATACCCCACACAATAATACGGAATATTTAAAACTAATAAATCAGTCTTGTATTTCATTTCAGGCCTAACCACGGCCGCCGAAAATGATGCACGCTGTGTGTATCGTTTAGGCCTAGGAAATGCATTATCTGGTGGCTTGATAAAACACTTTAAAAGCATAAAGAATCATTCTGTCACTGCTGCAAAAGACTTTGCAAGTGTGGGTGAAGCATACTTTCCTTCAGTCCACGGGAGAAACAATCATGCTCTACGAGAAGCAGTCGAGTAACAAATGAAGTGGCAGGCCGACGAGGACCAATTTTATCCAAGCGGGACCGGTTTTAGCGGCTAAAATCAATCCAGAGGACCAATTTTAGTAGACCGGTGGACCGATTTTGACAGTCAAAATATGCCCGCCGGACATTTTTTGGCCCTGACCAATTTTGGCGTGACAGGACTATTGCAGTTTTTGATTAAATGGATCTGTTCTGTTTAATATTACTCAATACCCCAATGCAACAGTGACATATTGGAAGTGTGGGGGTGGGGGAGGAACCATGGGAATGTAAGTCTCACAAAAGAAGTTCACACTCTCTTCTAGTGCATTCCCCATACACTGCAAAGTTATTACCGGTATATTCAATAGTAAAGACTACCTAATATCATTCCCCAGTCAGTTCTCACTCACTCTCTCACCCATGACATGTGAACCCTGTGTTTACCTATATATATTCCACACACAGAAATCAAGTACTTATACAGTAGGGTGTACATTTTCTATACTTTTTGTTATAATTTTTAAATGAAAGAGAGGCATTTGTGGGCCACTATTTGAATGTTGTAATCAAAGATTGCTCATGAGTAGGTAGATGATTGCAGGTACTGTATCATTTTCTTTGCTTGAGTAACTATAATATCATTATCACAATTAAAATACAATTCCCCCTGGGATAATATATCATAGCATTCAACAATTGTTCACTAATTAACAGAAGATAGACTGCATATTAACTTGCATGGTAAATAATTCAGTAGGCCGCTGATTGAATGCACTCCACAACTTTCAGCTACAATAATATTCATTTCAGTTGGGCAGTGGTGCATCTATGGGGGTGGGGATGCATTTCCCAAAAACTTGTCAAACCTAGGCACCCCTAATATAAAATTGATGAGCAAAAATATGAGTTAAAAATCACCTTGCTTTGCCAACTGAAGCCCCTTTACTTAATTACTGAATACAACAGTTAACCTTGTCACTCCATTAAGTCCTGTCCCCCACCCCACCCCGTGTCAATAGTACTAGCATACAATACTGTAGATATGTCAGCGCATTTTGTACTCACCTAAATTTAACAATGGAATATTGAAGTAGCAATTGTAATTTGAGTATGCAATAAAATACTACAGATTATTGAGCTTTTAAGGATAAAAGATTACCTGATGAATGATACTATAGGCATCCCTTTGATGTCTTCATAAGAGGCCTTGAATGAGGTTTGAGTATATTTGAACAGGTGAGATATGAATCTGGCATTGAGTTGTGATGATGATGATGATGATGATAAGGATGATGACGATTATAAAAATAATGATGATATGATGATGATGAATGGTAATGATAATAATGATGATATGATAAGGATGATGATGATGATGATGATTATGAAAATAATGATAATGATGATAATGATAACAATGATGATATGATGATGATGATGACATGAATATACGTTTGCTTGTACTAAAAAATATTATTTCTAAAAATTTTTGTCATAAATCCTAATATATGATCCTATAAATTATCATTTTTAAAAAAATTATTTAATTGGTTGGTTTTGGATGGTTTATTAATGGCACATAGAGAAAATGATACAATAATGATGTTGATGAGATAATGGAAGTGAGGAAATATGCAATAAATGTTAATGATGGTGATGACTGTGAAATTATATCATAATGATCATAAGAATTTTAAACATGAAGTTAAATAAGAAAAAAAATGTAATAATGATTAAAGTGAAAGGAAAATGTTATAAAAAGGTAAATATATAGGAAAAAATATAAATAAATATATTAGGTTTTTATGTTAATTAAAGTACAGTCAGATTATTTAATAAATATCATTTAAACTGTTTAAGGTAAAATTGACATTTTCTTCACCAAACAACATCCAGAAACATTGAGATAATCCAAATGCATTCCAGGTATAAAGTTATCATTTTAAAGATGGTTGACTATTTTAACAGTTAGGTCTATAAATGGTGCAACAGTTTAGACCTATTGTCGAAGGATAAAAGGTGATAGGTATCCTTAGCAGAAGCTGCTATATGTGCAACATTTAACAAACTATTACACTTGTTTTTGTTATGTCATTAACTGGCTACCAATTCAGTGACTGTTCAGCATTCCTGATGATGGGTACATTGGTTTCAATTGAAAGGTATATGAATGGACCAGTCAACTGGATGGGAAATTTCCGTCTTAATCAGCTTATCCGCCAATAATCCCCCAGTGAAAGAGATTGATCATTATTTGTGGGGGTGAGCCTCGAGCTCAAAATTAACGCTTTTCTTATGGATTAAAGAATGCCAGAAAGAAAAGGAAATCGATAGCAATTAGGATTTGTTTTAATTGCTGTAGAATTTCATGAAATAGTGTGAGAATTTACGTTTCACTGCTGCATACCGTACTAATAAATACAGATATAATTGCTGCGAAGCAGCCAATTCATATTCTTGACAGCAATTTGACCTCTGAAAGGTCATTGTTTGTCAAAAAACAAGGGCCTAAGACGACTGAAAAGCGGAGTTTCTGCTGGGTAAAATCAATTACTTTAAGCGACGTTTGTAGACTACCTACACGTACCGACGTCCGCATGTCGCGCTAGCCTTATCCTACTCTAGGCCTAGACTAGCTAGGATGGTATAGATCTAGCCTTGAAGGGACGAAGGTCCCAATGAAAAACAACGTCGCTCCTTGATAGCTAACATTATCTATTTAACATCACAATAATTCATTATTAGTCCTATAGTTGTTTTTTGAATTGTACTCCACAAATCTCAGCCGATACCTCGCACGACTCGTTAACGTCTCGTATCTATTGTCGTGACGTCATGGCTCGTTGACTCACACTTGTGATGTCTCGCACTTGTGATGATCAAATAACACGCTGGCTCGCACTTTGGCAACACTCTTTGGCAGTCAACTCGCCCTAGAAAACCCGCCCCTGGAAACTTGCCTCATAAAAAAAATGTACACTTCCTAGATCATGCAGTCTTCAAAATAAAAATCGTAACCTTTGGTAATCAACTACATTTTCCACATACATAGAAATTTTTGAAACTTTAATAAAAAAAAACCTAAACCATAATTCACCACTATAGACACTTTTTGACAAAAATGAAAAATTACGACTTCGTTACCCAATGAGAAGTGTTCTAATATAGACACTTCTCATTGTCTCATATT